AAAAGCAGGCATTGCGGGCCAGATGAGGGGGGAGGAATGCCTGTGAATAACTACATTATCTTAGCATAGCACAGCCAAGGTCAAAGCAGCAGCAGTTTGTAATAACAGAAGAAGATTCACACCTCTGTTTAATTGGAGCATATGATTGATGACTGTGAAAGGAGGGAGGGAGTTGTGCTTGTCGCGAGAGCTAGGGTGGAGGGGTGTTTCAGTTTTTGGCTTTACTTCGTTCGTGCCGGATTATGTAACTCATTAAAGGATTCTTTAAGGTAATTATGCCTAAAAGTTTTCTGAAAAGTTATTTCTTTCGGAACCTGACACTCGACTTATGACCGGTTTAGTCCTCGACTTACGACCGGTTTAGTCCTCGACTTACGACTGGTTGGGGTCGCGGCATTAAAAAGGTTGAGAACCACTGATCTAGAGAGATTATTTCTAGAAAAAAGAGTACACAAATATCAAATTAACACTACAGGCATTTCAATTTCTTATAACATCCATGGTTTTTTTTTTAATAGTAGAAAGAAGAAACGTATCAATTTACCCAGTTCTGCAAAATTTCCAGAATTCTTTCTTTTCTAGTCAGTTTTTGATTATTTATTAACAAAAAGATGTTACCCCATGCTTTATATTATGAATAGAATATTTCTATTAAATTGGATTAATCATTGTGACTATAGAACCTGACAGTAATTATTTATATTGATTATTACTTTTTGAAATACTTTGGTATTATTGAAGCTTCTGGATTGGTCAAGATACATAATATCATACAACTTAGGATAGGCTGTTGGTTTATTTTTTATAGAGTTTTTTTTTTAATTTCTACAGAGGAAAAAAAGCATAGTCATTAGAGGTATGCGGGGAGTATAAGGAAATCAAGATGTAAGGAGAGAACAGTGCTAAGCAAATAGAATAATGGAACAGTCACTAGAAATAAAATGGAAATTGACAGGTTATGATAAGTGTCTCAGAGGAAGGGAAACCTGAAAAAAATATCAGATCTGAATATGAGTAGTTGGCACTGAGTTCACATATTGTTCTGAAATCAATTTTTAATTACAGGCCCTCCTTGACTTACAAACATTCATTTAGTGACAATTTGAAGTTACAATGGCCCTGAAAAAAGTGGCTTATAATCTTTTTCACACACCGTTGTAGCAACCTCATGGTCATATGATCAAAATTCGGATACTTGGCAACTGACTTATATTTATGATGATTGTAGTGCCCCAGAGACACACAATCCACCTTTTGTGACCTGACAAGCAAAGTCAATGGGGAAGCCAGATTCACTGAACAACCGTGTTATTAACTTAAAATCGGCAGTGATTCATTTAACAACCGTGGCAAAAAAGATCGTAAAATGGGCAGAACTCACTTAATTGTCTTGCTTAGCAACAGAAATGTTGGGCTCAATTGTCATAAGTCGAGGACTACCTGTACAAGCTGCTAGTTTCAAATTAGTTCATAAAATGCACACATTCTGTTAATATTGATTAAAGCA